TTTCTTTTGCAGTGGTTGAATAAAATATAATAATGTAGTGGTGTAATCTTTTTTAATTTAAAAGAAACGGGGATTGAACCATCACAATTCACCCGAGGTAAGTTACCCAAAATATTCAAGGCAAATCCACAAGATATATGAAAATGAAACATCTGGAAAAGTAGAGATTTTAAATACTTGCATGCAAACATATTGTATGAAGTTTTTATTCTCCCCTGGGCTTTTATGAGGGGCACATTTGTACATTTTACTGATTGACACTTGTGTTTCTTTAGAGTTGCGAATTTATCAAAATTTGATGCTAGTAATAAAGTAATCATAAGGTTTTTCCCCCCTCAATATACTACCTCCAATTCTTAATATAATAACTAGTTTAACTTTTAATTTAGTCTTAATATGAGATTTCAATTCAGTTTGTTTCTTATATTTATTCATTCTTTCCAAGATAATCCTTATAGTAGTTGCACGTATTAAAAATTTTATCAAATGTTAAAACTAATATATTTAATTGGCAAGGGTATTTTGAGAAAGACAACACATATTTAATACAAATAACTAACTTAACAAGCTTTGTTAATCTATTCAAATTAGTCAACTCTTATATTAATGACCAGAGGAGGTAGTATGATATACCTGATTATTTAATTGTATAACATAACAACTGATAAACAGGGTTTAAATAAAAAAGAAATTAATTTGTTTAGTAATAATAAACATTTTAAAAATCTTCAAACATTTTTTTGAAAAAATCAATATGGATAACATTTTTTTGAAAACAATCCAATATATATACTTGAATGATTAGGACGTTAAGGTGCGGTGCAATCTGGGTCAATATCATCATCACCTAATCCATCTTTCAATTCAAGAAGTGAATTATCATCCCACTGGAACAACCAATTCCTTTTGCTGCTACATGTACTGGCTTCCTCTAAACTCTAATTGAGAGCTGCTTCGTAACTCTTATGATCCGTTCATGGCGGACCAACCACAGCGAGGAATCTGAATATTGAGTAGTCATCAACCTCAGCAACCAAACTAGTCACTATCGTAAATTCATAATCCTTGGAATTTCATGGCTTAAACCAGCATGATGCATGGAGAGTCACCAAAAGCTAGATCCCAAAAATTTGAGTAGGATCTTGAAATTTCTGAAGAAATCATAGAAGCTACAACACAAAACTAACAAACAAATCTCTCCTTTAAGAAAACTCCTAAAATCAAAGATTTTGAGATGTGGGTCGGAACTGGTCCTGAATCAAGAAAAAAAAAAATCAGAAACTACAGAATCTGAAATGGCAGTAGGAGGTAATTAATATTTGAAGAACCAGAATGGGAGCAACCAAACAATTTTCCAGATTTTGTTGTTGTCATGTAGAAGTAGAGAACTTCAAAGTTCACAGTACATGCAAAAGGAAGGAAGGAAGGAAGAAAATAAATAAATAAGAAAGAAACAAGAAGAACCCACTTTGGTTGATAAAAAGTTACAAGAGAGAAGATTGAAATTTTATACTTGTAACAAAAATATAAATTTCTCAACTAAGTTTTATAAGTATTTAAGATCAGAGTGTGTTTCCTATTTTGTTAGCAAAATAGAATTAAGGTGCAATTTTAATCTTAATCTTATTTCTCAAATGTAATTTTGCTTTTGATATTTAATGGTGTAATTTTGATCCTAATTTTTTTTGGGTGCAATTTGCCACTTAGGGTCAAAATTGCATCAGAGAAAAAAATATCAAAAGAAAAATTATGTCTGAGAAATAATATTATGGGTAAAATTACATAACTAAAAGATTAGGAGCAAATTAGAATGTGAGAAATAAGATTAACTTCAAAATTGTATCTTAACCAAAAAAAAAGTCTGTTTCCTATTTCATTTAATTAATTGAGTTTGGAACGCTCTACATAAAGGAGTTACACCTAGTAATAAATAACAAGAGGCCAGCATTAGAAAAAAAGAAAAAAAAGAGAGGCCCCCTCGCTCCTTTATTAACGAAGGGACACCACTCCGACTGTCCTAATCGCTATTGGTAAGCTGTCAAAGGCTCAAAGCAGCAATTGATGAATTTCGCTTATAGATTATTAATATATATAACATGTTAATATACTCCATCCAAACCCATAATTACAGTCACTCTAACTAATATGTAAAAATAAAAAATAGTAGTTAACTCATTAAATATTTGTGTCAAATTGAAATTTTTTTTTTCATTTTACCCATATTAAATGAGGTTGTGAATGAGAGAGAAAAAATACAAGGGATTACATTTAAACAAAAAAAATTGATAAATAAATATTAATAACTCTCATAATAACGTATATTTTGAATTAAATTATTCCTCTTGAAACGACTTTTATTGGGGACCAAAAGAAGTACTATATTTTAAGTTCTATGTAATATTTTAAGAAAATTATTCATAGGTCTTAGATGACAAAATCAAATAAAAATATTTTTGAATTTCATTTAATATTAAAATTTGATTTGTAAATATATTTTAAGTTTTAAGGAATTACTAATTTAACTTATAAATATCAAAATTTGATTTGTAAATATTAATTTATAAATTTAACTTATTAGTCACGCAATTTGACTTATAAAAACAAAAATTTGGCTTATAAATATTAATTTTATTGAAATCTATTAATATTTAAATAAAATTTGAAAATATTATTTATATTTAATTTTTTTTGTCAGAAACCTAAACCAATTTTTGCCCCTTCCTAAATAAAGAAACATATCATGTCGGCGCAAAAAAAATAAAGCAACATATTATATGTGTATATATGGACAAAACTTAGGTCACATTTGTTACAACTCATTTTGTTCAATCAAATTCTGTCTCCTATAATATTTTTTTTCCATTAGCATTTGATTCCAACAGTCAAATTAAAGCTCTACTAGCTTAGTTCAGATAAAATTCTTATAATATATTTACTTCCTTATATTTTATAAATTATAATTAAAAATTATTCATAAGTTATTTTAAATTAAGTTTCAGAGAACTAACCGCTAAGGACGCATGAAGGGAAATGAGAGGAGGGGAAAAAACTTAGCGAAGAAGAGAAATTGTTGGTGATGGAGGACACTTGGAAATTCCTAACAGGTTGGATTAGATAAGTTTTTCAACAATCAATCCGTACTTAACTTTGATCTTTTCAAGACTTATTGTCAGCATTTCAATACGAAAAAATCCGTTGAAAGTATTACAGGTTAATACTAAAAAAAAAAGCATTAAAAAATTGAAAATATGAGTCTTAAAAAAATTGAAGTCAAGTAGTAATTAGTATTGTTGTCAAACTCATAAGTCAATACTCTAAGTTTAATATTTTTATATTTTTATCTTATAAAAACGTGTCGATTTGTTCTTAAATTCGTACTAGCTATAAACTCAATTGAATGTATGAGTTCACTCACCGAATTTATCGTTTTTACATTTTTAACTTATAAAATCGTGTTAATTTGTTTTTAATTTTTTGCTAATTTTTTAAATTTATTTATGTTTAATAAATTTATATATAAATGTCATAGAAATTTTTTTTCTTGAATTTGGTAAATTAGTAATGTTGATGAATTTAATTTCAATTATTTAAATTTAAAATATATTTAAATAACATTTATATTTCTATTACGAGGTTGCTTAAACCGGTAAGTTTGATAATATAGGTGACTAGTAAACAAACAAAAGTTGATTACTGACCAAAAATAGGTCATTTTTTAATCTCTAGAATTTATATAATCCTTAATCATAATCCATACTTTTAAAGGTCCTTAAATATCTTTTTTTTTTTTAGCAAAACAGGTCCTTAAATATCTTTTTAATCTCTTCTTTTAAAAAAGTAAAGCATTAATGGGGGAGCAGAACTCCGCAATTTTCTTTACAGGGTGTGCCATAGTATTTAATCATCAAATGAATCCTAGGTGTCTTGGAAGCCCCTCGGCTTTTAAAAAACTATTTGCACATATAATTAAAAAGCTAATCAACAATTTGAGTTAAAATTTATGGTAGGAGTTTACATTTCATCCTTTAATTTTTTTTTAAATCTTCTAGTAAAACTATTTTTCTGTGTTTATTATTATTTTTAAAAAAATTAGAGGTAATATATAGCATTTAAAAATATTTTATCAATATTAAAAAAAAAGCTACTTTACGTCTTCATATAATCAATTTAATTACCAAAAAAAAATTACACGAGTAAGTAACATGTAACGGTAAATTCTGATGCAGGAAATGGCGGTATTAGTTACAAATTACTCACTTGTTATGAGATTTTTTTAATAAATCAGTTGTTTATATAGAACTGTGTGATTTTTCTCACATAAAATTTAAACGATGACATTTTTCTCAATGAAAAAAATGCTAATATTAGAGGAAAAAATTTTACAAAAAATTAAGAAATTAAAATAAATTCTATGCGAAGTTAAAAGACTAAAAAGTATATTTTTGCCCAAAACTTATCCATGTCCACGTTTCGGCGTGTATCTTGCAGAGCAGGCTTCTTCATGTGTGGAGCCGGAGGTTGACTGAAAATGTTTGGAGCAGCGTTCTAAAATATGGTCGGCGATACTCGGTCGTCATCGGAGCCTGTTATAGCCGTTGGAAATATTGCCACGAACGGACCAACGGCCTTTTGAAAAAAGAAGATAAAATAAAGAAGGCAAGGAAAAACATACAAAAAAAGAAGGGGCTACGAGCACTTGCGGGGAAAGGAAGACAAGGGCCCTACATGGAAATCATTATTCACCGCTGAGAATATGCAAATTCTAAAGAATCCTAAAACAACAACGACACCACTTTCTGATTTTCTTTCTGAGGCTTCATGCGAGACCAGTAACGTTCATGCACAATCATCATGTTGTCTGGGTTTGATTGTTTGTTCTTTCTGTAGAAAACCCCAGAAAAAATAATGATTTAAGTTTTGTTTTTTCAATCCTGTTTCCTCTCGTGGCCTTGAAAATTAATTTCCGGGGACACCCTTGGCCCTTTTTTTGTTTTTCTGTATTTGTCTCCCTTGGGGCTTTCCTTGTTTGTCCGGTTTGATGAATACATGCTAATCCGGAAGGTATAATTTGGTTCTTGAATTGCTGTTTTTTTTCATATTGCATGAGCCTGTGCTGGTTCTCAAATCCATCATTTTCTTCCGCTTTTTCTCGTCTTTTCTTTCGGAGCAAACAGCAAGAGGCTCTGGCTTTCCTTGAAGTGCAAGCTCTGTAATTTCCCTATGAATTGTCATCTGCGTAAAGAATCATCTTACCCCTTTGCGATCACCAGATAGATCACCTCCTCCTCCTCTGCTCTGGGCTGAACGAGCAATTTGATTCCCCTGCAGGTATGTTCACTGCTCGATGATGTGTTTCTGATACAGATGACGTCAAATTCTTTCATGGAACCTGCTTTCCTATCTCCAAACATTCCATCGACAATGTAATATCATCAAACAATACCTTTCTTGTTGCTTCTCTGATCGTATCCTAGCTGATTTTGTTTAATGTTGATTGCTGAAACATGAAGCTGACTGCTGACATCAAGTTGATCATTTAAGGATTGTATCGTTTCATTTAAGTTTCTTTGAAATTGTGAAATGGAAACAAAACCATGCTTTCCAGCATGAAAGTGATGCAGAATTCCTCTGTGGTGTTTTTGATCAGAATAAGAGATTGCTTCTGCTGGATTGATTCTGAGGATGGCAGAAGCTAGCTCGAGCAGTGGAACAATGGCGGGGAGTGATATTATAGCGATGAAGGAGACGCTGCGGGCTCAGCAACAACTTCTGCAGAAGCTGTACGTAGAGTTGGATGAAGAAAGAGAAGCCTCTGCAACAGCAGCGAGTGAAGCTCTTGACATGATTCTGCGTTTACAAGGAGAGAAAGCAGCAGTGAAGATGGAGGCCCGACAATATGAGAGAATGGCAGAGGAGAAGCTAGAACATGCAGAGACAACTCTGGAGATCTTCGAAGAGCTCATGTTCCAGAAAGACATGGAGATTGGTTCTTTGGAGAATCAAATTCAGGCTTATAAGAGAAAGCTTGTTAGCCTTGGATGTGATCCTAATCTCAGTGAGTTTGAGCTTCAGGAGGAGAATAATAATAACAATCAGTCGGTTCAAGGAACTGATGAACATCATCAGAACCCAGAAAATGAATCAGTGAGAAGGCTCCATTCATTGCCTCCTTTACCTGTAAATAAGAACAACTTCAGAGCTGCTAGGAAGAGAGAAAGATCACCAAGTCCACATCATCATACAGATATGATTCAAACAATAGAGGAGGAGAAAACTGAGAAAAAACCCATCCAACAAACCACGGATTTTGCCAATAACCCTGTAGAATCTACGCATGAAACCCTTGATGCATACTGGGAACAGATTAGAAAGTTAGATGAGAAAGTGAAAGAGATATCAGATTGTAAGGAAATAGAAGGAATCAAAGGTCCAAACCTGAGAGGCAGGAGACACAGATCATGTTCATCATTTAGAGCAAGGAGTAAGACAATCTCTAGCATTAATTCACATCAAGTTCATCATGAAGTTAATAAGCAACAAAATAGGGAAGCAATTACAGATCCTTCTTGTTCGGTAAATGTGCATGATGTGTTTGAAGTTCCACAACCTGGGGATAGTGATGGAGCCAATAAGCATGGGAAAAATAGACTAGAGAGGTTGAGGACAACAGATTCAGATAACAGGTTAACAAAACCAGACCCAGAAGTGTTAGACGAAAAGGCTGAAGCACTTTCTAGATATGATTCAGGAAAGGTAATGAGGTTTCTAAGCATAAACACGGAAACCAAAGCACACAGTCCAAATGGTAGTAGTAATAATAATAACAACAAGATCACTTGTATGTTTGGCCGGAAAATGGAAGGAACAAGTGTGGAATGCAATGGGGAAGCGGAGTTTCACCTTCTTTCGAAGAGAATCGAGAGGCTTGAGAAGGAAAGGGGGAGAGAGAGCTCAAGGCAAGAATTACACATGATGGAGATGGTGAAGAGCAGCTTAGGCTCTTGAAGGAAATACTCAGCCAGCTCAAATCAATGAGGGAAGAGGTTATAAGTTCAAAGGCAAAGAAATCTCCACCTAAAGATGATGATGGGCTTTTGGATCCTCTTAAAGAGGTAAGACACCTACACATCCTCTGGTGTTATTGCCTTTTGTTTCTGCAATTGAACTTGTTCTGATTAACATGCTGATGATCAAAACATTTATATGAACAGGCAATGCTCTACTTCTGGATTTGATTCTGGTATGTGCATGATTTGGTTATAAATAGAAGTGTGCGATGGTATCTGATATTTTTGAGAACGTGTGGATTTGAGGACATAGAATAGATTCATTGATTTTTGAAGATAGTTTCTGAAATGTCTATATATTCTGTTGTAACTTCATCTTGTACATTAGGCACTGATATGACAGTAACTTGAAGCTCCTGTAGCGTTGAGAATGTTCTACTTCTTTCTTCTTCTTTTTTCCCCTTTTGTTTCCTTATATTTTTTTGATCAGTGATTGAGATTGATGTATACTTAAGTTAGTGGAGTGAGGAGCTTCTTGATACTGTACTTTCATGCCATGAGAGAAAATAAAATGTTATGGCGATTTTCCTCCTCAAAGTGAAGTGAAAGCAGACAAATCACTGTTTCATGAAGAGCACCAAAATTTATATGCCTCTTCTTTATCATCTTTAGGGTCTTTTTTAGGTGTCTCTCTCCAGACTGACTGTTTTTGAAAGTTCTGAATGTATTATATTGATTAAGTCGTGTGATAGGGAAAAAGTGACAGACTGAGCATATGCTATGTTTTTTTAAGAGAAGAAGAAAAAAATTAATGGGGGGGGGGGGGGGACTATGAAGAAAAGAATGGATTGAGATTATAGTTTCCTCGTATTCATCACTCTGACAAAGCCTGATACCTATATTGGCAATTGAAGTTGGGCGCAATCGCAATGCATAAATATAGCTGGGTTTTAGCCCCATTACTTGTGGGTCAATGGGCCAATATGGATTTTAGGCCTACATTCTTTACTCTATCAAGGCTTTTCGCTTATTGCCAAAAACCAAAAAACAAAGTTCTTCCCAAGAAAAGTTCTTCTTCCCTAGCAAATACTACATCAACCACTAATATAAAAACTAGTTGACTACTTTAAATAGATTAAAAAAATTATTTAATTTAGTTATTGATAATATATAGGTGTTGTCTTCCTTAAAACACCTATGCTAATCATGTATATTAATTAAAACTATCATTTGATGGAACATTTAACATGTATAACTACCACAAAGATTACTTTAAAAAAAATAGATAAATATGATAGACAAAGTGGATTGAGATCTTATATTTAGAACCAAATTAAATGTTAAACTAGCTTTATATTAAGAGCTGGAGGTAATATCATCATTATTTGGTATACATAGTAACATTGATAAATGAAGAAAGAAAAAATATATTAGGCTGGTTCAAATGACAAGATTGAGATGATCTATGGATAGAGCTCAAGGTGTAATAAGAGAGAGTAAAATTGAGAATCTATCACTAAACAAATTATCTCTTTCCTCCAGGGACCTTGCGGCGTGATATTTTTCATATAAAGTAATACTCGTACTTCTCTTTTTGTCAGAACTTGTCATAGAAAATTGTTCCTTTTTTTATGTAGTCAGCATCTTTGTTGTAATTCTTATTTTGTACTACTTCCGATATTTAATATAAGAGATCATTTGATTTTTATCTTGGTTTTAAATATAAGATCTCAATCTACTTTGTTTTCATTTTTTTTCTAAGATAATCATTGTAATAATAGTAGTTCTAACCAATACACTTGATTAGTAAGGATATTTTAGGAAATATAACACATATTTATTACAAATAACTAACTTAACTAATTTTCTTAATCTACTCAAATTAGTCAAATAGCTCCTATATTAAGGAACGGAGGGAGTATAGTAACTCTTCTTTTTATTATAAATCGTTTTTTGTTTGATTAAAAAAAATAAAAATGAGAGGAGACATAATCACATGTCCTTGATTTCTTTCAAAGAATATGTATATATGTAATAGTAATAAAAATGTGATTAAAATAATAATAACAAATATAATAGATACTCCAAATAAAAATTGGTTTAGTTGGCAAAAATAAATTCATATCCTATATATCCATTTCGTTGATATGGAGACTTTAACCATAGATAATATAAATGTATTTTCTATATATAAACATTAATAACAATATATCACCACCAGCATCAATTATAATACAAATAAATACGTTCTTTAAAATTTTCCAAAATTTAGAAATAAATCACATTATTCAAAATACATAAATTGTACTATTTATCATAAATTTTATATTCTAAATCAATATTTTCATATAACTGTACACTCCTAATAAGTAATACCGAAAAGGAAATTAACAGACCACGCTCCCAATGCGGAATAAGCACATAAATTTTATGAATCCTCAGTGCATTTGTATATTTTTTCGGTCCTTTTTTCCGTGCCTGTTGGTTTGGTTCTCTGTTAAGTCTGAGAGTTGATGAGCATTCCTGCCTGGTGTATTTCTCAATGGTTGACCTTTTGATTTGCTAACCTTAATGATCTAAACCCTCATCTCTTTAGTTCATAGTTTTATTTGTTAGATTCGCTGTGTTTGGCAATAATATGAAACCATGATTTGGTACCCAAACCATGATTTGGGTCCCAAATTTACCAAACAGTGAGGAAAATTAACAAACCGCGGTTTTGGGTCAAAATCATAGTTTCAGAAGAAGTAAATCTATTATGCTTCTGACTTAAATTAGAGAGTATGATTATGCCTGTCAGAGTAGATCTCATTGATGATATGACTTTAACACCTTTCAATTATTTTTTTATAAACATATTTAATCTTATATTTTATAAATATATATACATATTAATTATTTATTATTACTTATGCCTTTTTAATTATAAATATACACACATATTATTAATTACTACCTCCGGTCATTAATATAAGACCCCGTTTGACTTTTATGTTGGTTCTAAATATAAGACTCCAATCTATTCGGTCTCTCACATTTACTCAATTTTTTTCCAAGATAGTCCTTCTAATAATTATAGTTTTAGCCAATATACTTGATTAATAAGGATATTTTAGGAAAGACCACCTATTTATTACAAATAACTAACTTAACTTCTTTCCTTAATTTTATCAAATTAGTCAACTGGCTCTTATAATTAGGACCGGAGGTAGTATGTTGGTAAAAAATATATCATTAACAATTTTATTCCTTCAAATTAAAATATATTATAAAATCCATCTCTTATGTAATTATTATACTAACTTATGCCTTTTTTTAGTAATTTGCACATATAAAAAGTGTTTCTGATAACAATTATTCAAACATTCTCACTTTATCAGAATCACTTTTTCACAAAATCTATTCTCTCAAGAATCTATTCTCCAAATCATGGTTTGGTTTCATCCAAACACCTTTAGTCCACCACAGGTCATTTATTGGGCTATTATAAGTTGAACGCAATTGCGCTTGTGATTATGGTTAATGACACAGAAAGAAGAAATCCTTCAATTCACATTAATACAATATCTTTCAATGATATTGGCCAATTCAGAGATGCACACTGGTTCATACCATTTCATACACACAGATCTACCAATGCCAAACGTACAACTCAAAATTTTCTACAATATAATGGTGAGAAAATGACAAATAAAGAAACTGAAAAATGTAATATTCTAAATCAGTACCTAAAACTTGAAAATGAGTATTTTGAAAATATAGTTGAATTATTAAAATGTTCATATATCAAAAAGTTTATTAATAAGTTTTGAACTGTTAATAACAAGTGTTGAATAACAAATGACAAGAAATATATTGACAATAACAAGTTTGATAACTTTTTTTCAAATCTAATATAAGAACATTTTAGCCATTTAATTATATTTACAAAATATTATATCAGACATCACTTTTTTTTTTTTCAGTTCTTAGGTGTCTAAATTGAGAAGTAATAATTTCAAAGTTCTTTTTGTGAAAATTTTCCAATAACAGAGCTTCTTTTCAATAGTGGTCTCTGTCCCCAGATGGTCGACTTGACTGCCTTCAACTCCAATCTCTTGACTGCTCCAACTGCGCTGTACTGTATTCTCAAATAGACTTATGTGGCATCCCCCTCTACAGTGCCTCTTTATCTTATGCTGCCAAAGTTGTCATGTATAAAGATAATACTATCTCCAATCCTAATCATATTTGAAAAAAATTAAGAAAATAAGTTAAGTTAATTATTTGTAATAAATATGTATTGTCTTTCCTAAAATATCCTTATTAATCAAGTGTATTAGTTAGAACTACTATTTTTTTAACAAAAAAGTCAATTTTAATGATCAACAAAAAACAATTACACTCACTAATAGGGAAAGCAGTAAAGGAAACATAAACCTAAATACAACCTAAAAGAAACGAAAAGAGAACAAATAAACCTAGCATACAACCTACAGAAAACAAAAGGAAACACTAAAGCTACAAAAGAAATCAACCAATACCAGTTCGAGCAGTCCTCCTTTCAGCGGCAAGATGAGTATTTATCCTACCATCAGAAGAGTCGGCCATCAAGACATCAATCAGAGGGGGGTTGGTGTTGTTTCCAGCCACCCATTGGGTGCCACTCCCCTACTTCCAGCAGCTGCTAAAAGATCAGCAACACTATTCCCTTGGCGAGCTACCAAAGAAAGCTTCACTCCTGGCCTATCCTCTAACAGCAGTAGAACTTCCTTTAAAATATCCATAGATTGCCATTCCATACCATCCAATGAATTAGTAGTCAAACACTTAAACACTGCTTCACAATCAATCTCAATGCAGCAATTATATGACTGAAATCTGTCACAGGCCAATAAGGCTTCCTTCACAGCAAAACATTCAGCACCAAAGGTTGAACGAGCTTCCACTCTTTCCCAAGTCCTCCTAGAAATAAACCATCATTATTTCTGCAAAACACACCTACCCCAGCACACTTCAGACCCTTAGTAAAAGCTCCATCAGCATTAATCTTTACAGTGCCTTCTTCAGGTGCCACCCAATTCAACATCCTCTCCACACCTTTCCTTCTGCTGACAATCCTCCCATTACTAGCATCCTTAGCACTCCACGCCTCTCTAACCAACATGGCTACAACATCAATAGTTCTTCCAGCATCCACATTGACTTCATTGAACACCCAGTCACACCTTCCCTTCCATATACCCCAACAGATGCTAGCAATGAGAGCTTTCCCTTCCTCTGAGATTTGTTTATTAGACACA